CACCCAGATCAATTCAAGGACAGTCTTAAGGCACTTTGTGCTTATGAACTAAAGGTGCTGTTGCTCTTTGGATAAATGGGAGGCATGCTGGCTTCGCACATAGCCCCTTTATTTTAACGGCTTCTTGACTCATAAGCATAGTTGTCAGGTCCATGGTATGTCTTGGTTCATTATACGGGAATGGAGATGAGATCTACCGCTTCAAAATTCTTTGGTGCAAGAGTGGTAGTTTACATTGGTCAGCTATTTCAGGTTATAGTATACATGTGTTACTTGAACTCGAGAGTAGATTCAGGTACAAGTATGTGTCCAAAATGGGTATATCCAATGTTTCTATGATTTTTCAATTCTTTGGAGGATCTTTAGAGGATCAAATTCCATATCAATGTCTGGAAATGTGTTTGACATGAGTGTTGGACACGGGTATTTCAGGAAAAATGAAGAGCTGAAGTAATATAGTAGTTTACTATGAACCCATTCTTTGATTTCTTTTGGTATTTTCTACTTTTTGTAATTTTAGTATTGAGATTCTGATGGTGGTGATGATCTTTTTATGTTAGCTCTAATGGTGATTAATTGGTTTCTAAAAAATTCTAAATATGAATGTACAAATATTGCGATCGATCATTTTGGTCAATTTATTTAAAAACTAATTTAGCAAGCAATTAAAGAAAATAAAAGAGTAGGGATGGGTGTAGGGGAGGGGGAGGCTTTAAAAATTAAGTTACAAAGAATGAGATTCCTTTGATCTTTCTGTATTGGTGTCTTTTACTTCTGAAAGTGTTGGAGACTCCTATTTAATGCTTGGAAGTCATTTATGATCATTGGAGAAGTTTTGAAAGTTGAAATCGAAAAGAGTTGTAAATTTTGGAAGCCTGCTCTGTTACCAGTTCGGCAGTTCCTAACTATTCTATGTACACTTATCTTGATCCACTTTTGCTATGATATTAACAACTTGGGCAGGAACATGCACGGAGAGAGAGAGAAGAGTTGGATAAGATGCTTGAAGAGAACAGGCGGAGGGTGGAAGAGGCACAAAGACGTGAAGCGCTGGAGCAACAAAGGAAGGAGGAGGAAAGATACCGCGAGCTGGAGATGATTCAAAGGCAAAAGGAAGAGGCTGCACGGAGGAAAAGCTTGAAGAAGAAGAAGAACATGCAAAGCAGATGAAGTTGTTGGGTAAGAGTAAGTCTAGGCCGAAGGCTCCATTTGGAATTTGATTATAACCAAAACATGTATCATATCATTGTATTGATATTGGTCTCAATCTTTTGGTGTTTGTTTGGGAACTATTGTACCGAGTCGGGATACACCTTGTTCTTCTCTGCTACACCTTGATTACAGTGTTTGGTTCACGTGATCCTACTTCTCTGAGAAACTGTGTTGGACCGGAAGTGAAAGGTACACGGTTGGTTGTAAGCTATTTTTCAAAAAAATCAATGTAAGGATTATGTTTTTTTTTGTTAGGATTGATGAAGCTCGTTCGATCAACCAAAATATGCCAAGAGGGGTTGAATTGGCCTTTTGAAGTTTAGGGAGTAAGGAGTTTAAAGATAGAAAAAATTGCACAATGATTTATAGTGGTTCAACTCCCACAATGAAGTTTACATCAACTACCTAAGTTTTTCACTTAGGATTTTTCAACAAATCCACTAGTTTGTTCTTTCTTTTCCAATGATAAAGAGATAACTTTTATAAACTCTTTAGTTTTTCAAAGGCTTAGTTAGAACCAAAACCTTTTTACAAATGAAAATAATTGTAAACAATAAAACCTCTAAAAAGGAATGTGTTTACAAATTAAAGATCACAAAAACAAAAAATATTTACAAGAGAAAGAAAATAATGAATGAAAAAAAAATTCTCTTGTTTTTGATTGCTTGGATAGGTTAGTCACCTTCTTCAAGTGTCTTCAACTTGTTTTTATATGTTGGAATGAGTTACTAGTTGTTTTTAGCCATTGATGATGATTTGGAGTCGTTGAGAGCTGAAAAATCTGTAATTCTGCGTAGGGGTTTTGAAACTTTTAAAGGGGGTTCAAAACTTTCATTTAAAATTTTAACCGTTTGAATAGGGGATTTCAAAACCTATAGCTCATATTTACATTATGCATTTGGGATTTCGAAATCTCTTGAAGGGGTTTTTTAAACTAGGCCCAAAATTATTTGTTTTGCATTTTAAAACTTAAAAATTTTGAATTATTCTTGTAATATTTGAACAAATTCAATTTGGTCCAAAAAATATTTTTGCCCTTATTCGTTATATCAAAATATTAGTTCTACATTTTTTTTCCCTTTGGATTTATGCCGTCTGCTTCTCTTCTCTCGAGTTTAATAGGCTATTCACTTGCATAACTAAATGGGATGAGTAATTAACCTTGATTAGATTACCAAACACAAGTTTTGTTATGATTATGTCCATTAATGAAGTTACACGGTTCTTGTTAAGTGATAAACCAATTTACATAAAGAAGCAAAGAACAATAATTAACTATTTCAACCCACTTAAGTAATTAGGCGAATCATGTGTTGTTCTTGCCATCTTCTTGGATGGTTTCTGAAGCTTTAAATTTCAACCCAATTGGTTGATTATAAGCCCTCCTTAATTTTTGTGATGGAATAACATTCACACCAGTCCTGAGTTAGCTGTTTGTCCCTGTAGACATTTAACATCTACCGTCAAACGACCTTATCGACGGTATGATAAAAAAACTCGACATGATATCGACCTAGTCCTCAGCTTTGTCTACTATAAACACTTCTACCTATGTTGCTGGGACTCTTTATTTTTCTGAAACATCCATGTCCGGTACCAAGCACATCTAGAAATTGGTATAGAGGTATAACCTCCAAATACATGGAAAGGCTTTATGGAAAGCTGAACATACCGGTGTTGAACTCATACCAATATCTAGCACTTACAGTACTCGAGTCCAAGTAAGATAGTTAATTGCTTTGTTTTACCTATAATTTCTTCATGAACATATTATTTTGATCACTCGTAATCGAGGAGATAAAGAAAACTTCCTCTGGTGATCAATAGCGTAGATGAAAATGGTACTACCGGGCCGTTGATTCTCGGTGACCAAGCTGTCCATTTGTACCCCTTCCCCAGGAGAAGACGTTCTTCTCTTCAGTAATACCAAGTGTGTGCCTCCACCCACATGAAACCTGAACTACTTTTTGCCAAGTAACAAACAAATATTGTGAATGGCTACTAGAATGCCAGAAAGATTACTAACAAGTTAAAGTTAAAGCATATGATTATTAAGAGCAGTCAACCAGCTTCTTCATCAATGGCTACTATGCATATCTGAAACAATATTTTAGGTTCCAAGGTAAATGTGTTCAATCAAAACACAGGGGATCTAAAAGATGAAACTAAAATAATCATATGAATGGTAGCCCAAAGGCAATAGCGATCGCCTTCAGACACACAAACTCTCTTCTGCTGATTTTACCAAAAGAACTTATCTTCTGCTGATTTTAGGATTTACCTGTCAAGTTGGTCTGTAGTAATCTCTCATTTATTGGAACAAATCCTTGAGGTAATACTATTCAAAATGAAAGAATCTTGCATCAAATTCATGCATTCCAGCCCTCTCCTGAATCAGCCCGAATTGCATACAGAGGTCAAAGTTTCTCTGATCTATATATGAATACAGAATAACCTCTTCAAGTACATTTGCCTACAATCACATACTATTCGTGAAGATCAAAAGAACCGATATAACCACTTGAAGTACATACCCGAGCTCAGCCACTTCGAGTTCAAAATAATACTCGTTAAACTCCAGGAACCAAACATTGAAAGTGAGAGAGAGAGATTATATGTGCATGAGACATGCAAAGAGGAGAGTACAAACAAGCAATGAAACTCCAACTAAAAGTAAACACACGACACTTACTGGAACGTGCTTGGTTCACTCCAAGAGCATGTGAATTAAATTGCTTTTGTTTTTGGAAGAATCAGTTTGTTTAATTTATAAATTAATAAGGACCGAAGAGGTACTTAAATCAAATATTTCAGTTCAACTCATGCTAAATTTAATATTTTAGATTAAAATATTTACTTGTACGTGTCCTTTTTAATACTAGAAGGATTAGAATGGATTTCTAGTGTAGTATAGGGACTGTTGATAACACTTTAACGACGATATTAATGACTTTCACTAATTTTATATAATGTTAATTTACATAACGATAAGTTAACCTCCAATGTTTATACAATACTACAGTTTGACCCCAGTTATATAAAATAAACACATAAAATACACATAAAATACCTGTAATATTTGATTAAATAGTCACTTTGACCCTTATTATTTTTTCTTTTCAGTGTTTTGACTCGATGTTTCATTTTGGGTAAAAAGCCTCATTTGTGGATAAAAATTGTTAGTTAACAAACGGTCAAGACTCTAAAATAAGGACCTTTTTCCCTAAAACAAAACATTAGGGGCCAAAATACTCCAAAAAATGTGGTCTAAAATGATTATTTATTCAAACGATAAGGGTCTTTTTACCCTAAAATGAAACATTAGAGGCCAAGATGCTCCAAAAAATAAGATTTAAAATGATCATTTATTCAAACGTTAGGAGCCTTTTTGACCCATGATGAAACATTACGGGCCAAAATACTCTAAAGAAATAGGTCAAAAAGAACTATTTAACATATATGGTTGACGAAAAACGTTTAATGTTATAAAATTGATTTAATTACTCCTTTTTAAATTTATTTAATTTATTAAGTTAAGACTATTGTAAAAATAATATTTGTTCTAAATACTTTCAACCATTTGGCAATGATCGTTCAATCACTCTGATGTAGAACCGTGACCTTTAACAATCATTTGTCCAACTCTTAATGCATTCTACGAGTCCATCGACTTGAAGCATAACGACTTAGTAGCTTACCAAGTTAATTTGAATTATAAAAAGAGAACCACTCAACATTCTTATGAATCAGTTAGAGCATTACAGCAGAGAGATGCAAGCATTTGGATCCATATATTGGTATTAAACCTTTCCATTCTCACGAGTTTCAATGTTCCTCACAGGTCCCTTGAACCATTTCCTTGCATCCACAAACCACCATAGCATTACCAGAGACAACCCCACACCTAGAGCTACCGGTGCATAATTGAATGTCTCCCAAGCGATCGGGTAGTACGTCGGTAAGAGAAACACCGAGCACGTGTAACAGATCCACACGAAGGCTACCAGGCACACCGGTCTGCTTGCTCTGCCCAAATAAAACGGTCCGGCTTTGAAGTTCTTCTCCGGCATTACCATTCTCGCAAATATCGGGACCGCGTAGCCACCGACCCACCCGATGGTGCATATGGAAGTTATGGCCGTAAACACTACATTCACTTTCAATATTGGCAGCCCCATAAGTATACATATGGCCGCACATAGCCATACTGCGTTCGATGGAACTTTGCGCACCGGGTGCACTTGTCGCCATATCGATGAAAAAGGGACCCCTTTGTCTCTTGATAAAGCATATACCTGAAAGTTACAATGGTGCAGGATGAGTAATCAGTCAGCCAGTGATGATTAGTAGTAAGTTCGATGTATCGCTCGGAAATGGTTCTCGGACTCGGCTATCAATATTAGATTACTTACAACTCTGGCTGCACTGGTGGTGATTGATAGCCCACCAAAGAAGAAAGAGCCCCAGATGATAAATAGTAACACTATCGCTCCAGCAGAATTATGGTACCTCCCATGGAATGCATCGTACAGTATTTGTGCAGGCACAAATACTCCCGCAGTTTCATTGCTCGGATCATAGAGGGAACTATAATCCTGAATAAAACAACATATGGCAAATAAATGCAAGATTTTCATCTTCATAACGACTTCGAAAAACGATCTATCTATCCATCTATATATACGCAGACACATACCTGAATGCTGAAAGTAAGGGCCAAGATATAAGCCCATCCGAACACCGAAATAATCCCAATGCTGGACAGGATTGCAATAGGACCATTCCTATCTGCATCTTTAGTCTCTTCAGTTAAATGTGCTGCTGCATCATACCCATACATCGAATACTGACTGACGAGAAAAGAGAGGATGACCGCGTACGGTTTGCTCGATACTCCCGTCGTGTCTGCCCCCAGTTCGAAACTCGTGAATACATACGATGCCGATTTCGTAGTCAATGCTACCAATGGGAGCATTATAACTAAGACTAAACCTCCAATTACCTGACAAGATACAACATTAGAAACTATAACCGGCTTATGGAACTACACACAAGGGAAGGCACATTACCTGCCACCAAATGGAAATTATGTCGATGAAAGCAATGACTTCTAGCGCTAAGGTATTGAGCACTGCCCATATTAAAGTGAGACTCACATACATGCATAAGAAGAGCCACTTGGGAGCAAAATATCCGCCGTCTTTATTAGTTCCGGTGCTTAACAAGATAATGCTCTGCAGTGTTTGTGATCCTGCATAAGCCTTCAATGGCAGACACACATAAACATAGGTTAAAAATTCAAACAATTTACAAACAGATTGCCCTGTGTTTATCTTTTTTAAGTATACCTGGGTACCTATGCCAGCAATAAGCCCTATGGTCTCGAGCCAGGCGCAGCACCATGACGAGAAGGGACCCCATTTAGGACCAGCTAAATGGGCAGCCCAGAAGTAAAGGGAACCTGTGGTCTGTCGAAATTTACAAGAGGCCAGTTTGATGAATAATAATACAATACCTTATAGGGCATGTTTTTTTAATGAGAATGCAAAGATTGTGAGAGAGAGAAGGGACAGACGGGGAAAGAGGAACAGATCTCAGCCATGGCAATTCCAACAAACCAGGTGAAGAAAGAGACAACAACCCAACCCCAAACAAGAGCAGCAGGGCCTGCATATTGTAGGCTTGAGCCATACAGGGGAGTGATCCCTGTGAACAACGTCATTGTTGAGAATGAGATTGCAAGAGTCTTGAACAGAGTCTGCAAAAGATTTATTTTACAAGCATGGATTGTTATGATTAACAAGATCAAACTCAGATAAAAAGACGAACAAGAACAAGAAGAAGAAGAAAAAAACCATTTCTCTTCTGAGTTCTTGCTTGTAGCCAAGCTCATTAAGGCGTTTCTCCCCGGAATCCATGCCTTGGGGTAGTGCCTGTCGGCGCTGCTGGTGGTGATTCAGGTGGGAATGGGAATAGAGAAAGATCAAAGAGAAACAGAAGATTCAAAAGGATAAAAGAGAGAGAGAAAATAAGAAATGTTGACTCATGAAAGGTTGGTGTTTGATATATATATATATATATATTGTTATTTTTCCGCCCAAGAAACCATCATCAATACCCAGTTTCACATCTCCTTTTCCTGCGCTGCTTTTATATATATATATATATGGATGTGAAGTTGTGGAATAGTCATGCGTGCATGCATCATCATGTTGAACGAGTATTACTAATATAGGGTTGCTTCCTGTAACTGCATATTTCTTGCTATTAGGATATTTGGTTTTATTTTTATAGATTTGGATAGTAAATATTTTAATTACTATTTATAGCAGATTCATAGAAAATATGAATATTAACATTTGAATATCTATTACTGAAATTTACTTCATTTTTGTGGATGATAATTATGAAACCTTTATTTATTTTCCGTTTTAATAAACTTTATTTTTTAAAAGTTCATTTGTAGGCATAAATCAAGCGACACCGATGGTAAAGAATGTGTTGTTATTTTTTGAGATCTCGTGTTTGAGCGCCATAGATGTCAGTGGTGCGAACGTCTGATGTCAAATTGTCGAGAGTTATCTTTGAACAAATATTACATTTTACTTGCCTCGTGTTTATAAAATAAAAATCAAGTATTTAGGGTTCAAGCATTATGCAATGAAGATAATTATTTGTGTGTATTCTTAATGTAAACATATTAAAATTATATTCTTGAAATAATTAAAATAGTTGAAAAAAATGAATCTAATATTTCATAAATATCAGAATCTACCATCTAAATAAGTAAACAACCTTTAGCTGGGCGTCAGTTTTGGCAGACGAAATCCGTAAAAATGTTGACTTTGAAAAGCGTGGCCATGGAGGTTGCTTTTTCTACGGGGACTCAATTAATTAAGTCATTCTTGTCGTTTCCAACATCTAGTGTGTTGACTTTCAACCTTGATCCCATGCAGTTGAATATTACAACGATGGATCTTTATGCATCGTCTCAACAGCCTCACCTGCTATTCGCTCCATCACAAGGTCAGTACCTCTATAATGTGAAAGGGTTTTGCCTCCTCTATTATTAAAAGAACATAAGATAAGTATAAACATGTCTAAAAATTCAACTTACACGTGCTAAATTTCCTCTGTCAACTATGAGCTAACATTTAGCACTCGAATTGACATCAGAACGAATGGAAAGACTTGACTGGCATGCATTAACAGTTGAGTCAATACAAAGCCTGTTGTTATTGTGTCAGCGTTGCAGAAAATGGATGCTTAACCCTCCTTTCCATTGATAGAATAGAAAGACCAAAATGCATGTATTAATGAACAAGGGTGCAACACAAGTAACTAAACCTAACAATCTACCTGCACTCACTCGTTACACTCGAATATACAAGAGAAAATTTATACATTTTTTTATAGAAATAGAGTAGGCCTCGTTAAAAGCCCCCTTCATAACCTCCATGTTACATCAGTAATGTAAAGGACATTGGAAGGAGAAAAGAGTACCTAGAAATTTATTAATATAAGAATAATACAAAGCCAGTTCCTTACAACCTTCTGTTACAACATAACACTTAAAAACACAGCGTGATAATTCGAGTTAATGCAAATCTTGTTCTGTGTTGACTATCCTCCGAGCGAGGATTCTGCAGAAGACTGATTTTCCAAATGATAAAAATTCAGAATCCTGTTGCCAAGTTGTCCAAGGAACCAAAAGTATATTATATAATAGCCGACGAAAAACTTTATGTTACCAGTTCATATAAAGGATGAAGCAAATTCCATCCTCATCTCTCTGATTCTGACCCATTTATGGTGCCGGCAAGGTTATCTGATGCTGATGTCTGTCTCTGTCTCGATCTTCCCCGCCCTGAAAACCACAAACCAAGGACAGCGAAATGAATTTTTATCTTACAAGAATCATGCGCTCTGGAGTTTGAGTCTCTCATTAAATCCGAACAGCAGAATATATTGAGCTTGAAAACGAAACAAACATTCCTCGTGCTCATCACTAACATTCTTTGCTACATTGCCCCAGGGAACATGGCACGACCCTTACATCCCCCTAAAATTCAAATTTCTATACTGCAAGTGGTTTCCAGAGTGGGAAGAGACGGAGAGTCTAACCAGAATTCTTCTTTTTCTTCAATGAAGCCTGCTTGGACTTCTTACGTTCTTTCTCCGTCTTGGTACAAATATCTTTGTATTTTTCAAGTACCCTTTTTCTCTCTTCAACAAGGCCTAACATCTCATATGCATCTGCAACTCTTTGAACTATTGATTGCTCTGGAGGTTTGCGGCCAAAAGATTCCAAGCCTTTGAAAAGCTTTATGATAACAATAAAAAATAGATCAATACAACATGTTGGGAAAAGAAGTTATGGAAAAAATAAAAACAAGCTGAACTTTTAATGAAGCAAGACTAGAGAGAGAGAGAGAGAAGGAAAAAATAAGTCCATAACAACTGCCAAAAAGAACTTTGACCTGTCGAAGATCCGAAAACTGCCTCTAAGATATTAAGTACTACCTTTTCAATATATACATGGTTGACAGCTTGTAAACAAAACATACCTTTACAAGATTCTCCAGCATGTTGTTTCTATAGTACACTGCTATCATGAGTCTACATAACTGCCAAGGAACTGAATGTAGATCAGCACCAACTTTCTTCACCCAAAATTGATGTGCTTCCTCCGCTCTATTATCCCTATCCAAAGCTCGTAGTAACTGTGTGTATGTCCCCATTGTGTTTCCCTGCCCTTTGCTTAGCATCCACTTGATGACCTAAGAGGGAAGAATGGTTGTTGAACTTGAATTCATATTCAAAGAGTTCAAACTTGACATGATTCATTATATTTTTTTTTTGATAGAAATTACAGGCCTCATTAAAAACCCCCTTCTTGATTAAAGGAATTCTTGAGAAAGTTCCTTAATCATTGGAGGGAGGAAAAGAGTGCCTTAGGATTTTATTGATCAGGGACTCATTACATAAAATACAACCAAGACACACTGTCAAAGCCATAAAAATTACAGAATATTTAAACAAAACTCCCTAAACGACCAAACCTTCCTTACAATAACAAAACTTTCCCAGCCCCTTCAGCCTCAATAGACCAAGAACCTGCTAGAAAACCTCTATGACACTTAATAATATTCATCCAATCCCCTGTTTAGCTAGAGAATCAGCCTCAATGATTCATTATATTTTGAAGCAGGAGTTATTCTAGTAAGCATCAATCAACCTTCTCTCTTGATTATACTAGGATATAATTCTTCTTGCAAGCAGTTATCTTCAATATGTGCACGACCTGCCCTAACCTACACTAAGAAACATAAGGGCCAACTGCCAAGAAAAATATGTTCTTACTAGTTACTACTACAGTCACAGATTAACCCACTTATTGATTCAAGAACCCAAGTACCTTGGATGGTATCTTCTTTCTTAACTTGAAACATAATTGTTAAGCATCCGAGAAAAATCCAAATGGAAATAGGCAAAGAGACCCAACTTGATTATAAACCAATGGAAACCAAATACTTAATAGATGAACACTACCTAAGACTCCCTCAAGTGTAGCTAACAAAGGCCTACGCATTAACAAGCTCACATGGGGTTGGGCAAGAACAGAACACACTTAGCCTCGGATACGATGCTAAGCATCCACTTAAAACCATTTGACAAAAGATAGAGATGCTCAACTTAAGGATGACAAGTCAAAGTGTGATAACACCTCTTAACAATAAAATATGATGATAGTGATAACTAACCAGTTCAGGTGACTATGTAATAGTGTGACAAAGAAAATATAAATCATCCTGAAGGGGGGGGGGGGAGCAGATTAAAATGCAAAAACATAATTAAAGAGACGAATTGCTGATACCTGAACAACTCTATGCCACTGATGCTCCTTCTCAAGAGCAAGGATTACATTTTTAAGAGGTCCAATAGGAAAACTCTGCTCCCAAGCAACCCATGTATCAAGAGTGCCATAGACAGCTTCTTTACTGTCTGTAATATCGAGAAGCTGCATAGATGGAGTTAATTTACTAAGTTAACTACCCACTTTAGCATTCAAAATTAATCCAAGGTGAAAAAAGATGCACAATTTTATACTTACTGTGGTTACAAGAAACTTAATCTTATCCTTTCTTGAGACATTTTGTCCAATTTGGTGCTTCTGCTCACCTCCAACATTTGGTTTGGGATAAAGATTCACCGTTTGGTTATTACATTGATCCTGAAATAATTCCTATATCAATTAAGGCAATCAAACAAGATGAACTCAACTAGCAAAGTTGAAGAACTCAGCTGGAATAAAGCAGCATGTAAAAGCTGAAGGGAAATGATTAAAAATTTAATAAGATGTGTCATCTCTATAAGCATCTATCATATTTGTGAAATCGTGATTTTTAAAAAGATAAATAAACCCATTGTATACAAGGAAGAAATACAAACTTAAAAAATAATTGCTCAACCCATCTGCTAATCATAGAAGACCTTATTGAAACATGTTTCAAACTTAAAGGATCCCTCATTTTACCTTCATTTTATTTCTATAACTCAAAAAAGTTTCTATGGCATTTCATTCTCATAAAAAATGATGTAGATGAGAACTGAAGGAAAATGAATAGAGATAAGAGGATGACCTTAACAATTAAATGGAAAGTACAGCAAGGTGATATTTGATGACTAGTCAAAAATTAAATTTTGTGATATCTACATATGTTGCTTTGATTCTTCATTATCCCTAAAGTGTTTGTATGACATATAGCTAGGCATGGTATGCAAGCACAACCCTGCAAATATATAAAAGAACTTGCAAAAGAATTGAGTACACCCGTTTTAGACACATAATCATATTCGACACTTACCCAGAGTTCGAGTGGCATATCTAGTTAATCATTTTAAGGACCCCTTCACATAATATTCCAAGTCAAAAATCTAGAAAAATTAACTAGTTTAAACAAACTTATTTCATTCAATCTATATTAGTTTAAACAAACTTATTATCCCAGTGTCACCATACATGACATCTTCTATAGAGTAAAACCCCATTGGTTGTAAAATCACTACAAAATAACATATTACAACTTCAAAAACCTAATAAAATCAGATTCAAGTTTTTATTGTTCAATATTTATATTATTTTCAATTTACCAAATAAAATTTAACTAAAAGTTATTTTTGATAAAATTGGATTAAGAAAGAAAGAACTTCCAGTTGAAACTCATCCTTACAAGGAGTGTAAGGAAGCCAAGTCTCCCCATGATCTATCCGGGTTCATTCCAATAACTACTCAGCATATATATGTAATTACTAGGCTTGACTTGCTCGTGCGTGTTAGTTGAACTTTTGATTTGGTAATATGTCTCTCTGTCACAAGAGTATGAACTAGATTTTATCTGTACTGATATGAGGCTAAGCGAATAGCTCATGAACTTTTAGAATCAAGATCAAATTTGAAGAATAAAACTCTATCAAACTTAGTCATATTTTTAAGGCCTTTTTAAGTAAAGTCCAAGCGTATTAACTCTGTTGATCAACTTGATAGATTATACCACTAACAGGAAAATGACAAGCTTATTAACAATAAATGCTACAACATTTTTTAAACATTACAGTAACTCAATGACAACAGATAAACAAAAAAAATTTACCTTCACTACGTGGCCAGAGTGTGCTATTTTTCCTTGTCCTTTGGGAATGACCTATATATATATATATGTATAGAAAGTTCAAGGAAGCAGCAAATCAGACAACCTAGCTGTTAACATTCCAGTGTCCCCCACACCCATTTATCCCCCAATTTTATTTTTCAGTGTAGACCAGGCAGGAGGAAGGACGATTATTAAGTGATCGAAGAGACATGAAAAATTTTAAATTGTGTTGAAATTGGAACAACAATATTCACACACATACATACATATATTTTTAAAATTTATTCCTCCGCTCTTAGATTTTAACTAGGCAAAACAAAAAAAACGTAAATATTAGACCAAACCAAAATGAAACCCTCAAATAGAAACCAATCATTGGATGAATCTCAACCACGGGTGGAATCTCAAGGACTTGTTATCCAGTATTTAGTTAATACTTGACACCGGATTCTAGAGGGAGGGAAACAGAAAAAAGTCCAGAAGCAGAGCATTTGAATAAGAAGACATTTAACTAACCATCAAAGAATAACATGGCCTTCAAAATTATAAATAAAAATGAAGGATGAATCGCACGGTAAACTTATTCGGTAATTTCGTCAAACAGGTGATGGGGGTAACATATTTCGGGTTCAGTTACGAAGAAACACTCGAAAATTAGAATTTAAAAAATGACCTGGTCATATGTAGCATAGGAGCAGCCTCTCAACAACGCCGATGTCGCGGGAAGAAAAATCATCGGGGTGGAACGCCCCGAAATCTACAAGTAATAATAGTAATAAAACAATGAAGTAGCATTTGATTGTATAAGAAAAGATTGTACACGGAAAAGGAGAAAGGAAAAGAGTACTCTTTGGATTGCAACTCGCAGCATCGGAGTTAAAGGCGTGGTGGTGGTGGTTTCAGAGACAAGCCGGAGAAGAAGAAGCGGTTCAATTCGTAAATATCCGACGTACCTACTGGCTGGCTACTATTATTCCTTTGAAGCTGCTTAATTCAAAAAATCATGGTTTTCAGTGACCAAAAATCCCATATAATATACGATTTTAACCAATTTTTTTCGGATTTGCCAAAATGACCAACAAAATCGTAATGCGATCGCTAATTCGCAACACGATCTCCATTATCGCAAATTCGCGTTGCATTTTCGCAATGCGATAGTTGAAAATCGCGTTGCGATGGTCTACAGTATCGTTGCGATTTTCCCAATTCGCAATGCGAATAAGTAAATCGCAACGCGAATTGGGAAAATCGCAATGCGAATAAGTAAATCGCAACGCGAATTGGGAAAATCGCAATGCGATACTGACTATCGCAATGCGATAATAAAAAATCGCAACGAGATACTTACTTTCGCAACGCGATATTGACTTTCGCAACGCGATTTACATAACGCCATTCGTATTAACGCGTATTTTTTTTTCAAATTCCAAACACGTATTTTTTCTTAATAAATCGGAAAATGAACCGTCCACAGTAATCGCAACTCATAACCTCAAACCCAAAAACACAACACTCAGTCCCATCTCCATCTCTCACTCTCTACGGCGAAATCCGTCCCCATCTCCGAAGATTTCCGTCCCCATCGCCGGCGAAATCCCTCACAACCATTCACAGTCAAAAATCCCTCACAATCATTCAGAAATGGAAAATCAACCTCCGAGGGTTAGTTTTTTTTATTTTTATTTTGAAATTTTTGCATTATTTTAGGTTTTTCATATTGAGATTGATGATAAGTTTACTGGTAATTTCAATAATAGATTAACCATTTCACTTAGATTTCTTATTAAATTCATTCGATTGCTGCCAATACTGCTAAACTGTTTAGCCTGTGAAGTTAGTATTTGTCTTTGCTTTGTCTTTTGGTTGAAGTAATGCAGAAGAAGAATAGTTTCGAGAATGAAAATCGCAACGCGGAAATAACTATCGCAACGAGATAATCGCAACGCGAAACCAAAATCGCATTGCGATTTTCATTTCGCGTTGCGATTTTCATTTCGCGTTGCGATTTTATTTCGCGGTTGCGATTTTCATTTCGCGTTGCGATTGTCTGGTCGCGATAGTCATTTCGCGTTGCGATTCTCTCGTTGCGATAGTCATTTCCGCGTTGCGATTCTCATTATCTCGTTGCGATTTTCATTTCAACCAAAAGACAAAAACAGTGTTGCAAATTTTAGTTTCAAGAATAAACTACTATTTATGTTTATTGTTTTGTTTTTGGTATATCTTGACAGTGTAATTTTTGGTATATCTAACTTGGTATGTTTATTGTTTTTTTGTAGAAATTTTTTTCGGCTTCATTGACATTAAGGAATAAAGTTAGCCTAGCCACTACAATTGCTTCGAAGCTTTCACCTGCACAAAGAAAATTGTTTGAAGAAACCTGCTTCGGGCCATGGTTGAGAGTACAACATCCGGGTGGAGATGCTAGTTTGACCCATTTGTGGCTTCAGACCATGACTAGCGATCTACCCGACAGTATACAACGTGGTGAGGAAGAGATATGGTTTCATTTTCCACCGGCGTATACTTGTTTTGGGCGGAAGGAGTTCTGCTTAATCACTGGTCTACGATTCGGACTCGATGATGTAGGCCGGTACACTCGTCATATCACCCGCCCATCATGGTTATCCAGGGTTTTTCCTGATGAGTCAATAGAGAAGCCGAACTTACACGTCGACGACATGAAGAAATTGTTTAATAAGAAGATGGTTTTACTCGGATGAATGACGTCGATGTTGTCCGAGTATGCCTTCTACTACTTTTGTATGCCGGCTTTCTAGGCAGAGAGGCCAGACAACCTATTCCTCAGGAGCTAATATTATTGGTAGAGGACCTAAATGCATGAAATCTGTTTCCGTGGGGTTCGTATATATGGAAAGCTACCTAGACTAAGTTGTCGTCTGCCTTTGATGACCGCAAAAGTTTGTGGGGCGATGGGTCGAAATACACTTTGTCAGGCTTTGTTTGGGCCTTTAAGGTAAGAATTTCTATATAATGTTTTCAAAATTATAATTAATTATTTAACAATTACTAATGTTTGTTATTATATTGTTTGTAGATTTGGATATTCGAGGCTTTCCCCAACATGCGGACATATGCATTAAAATCCTCAGATGATATTCCTAGGGCTATTTCCTGGAAGAGGAAACGTATGTTGGATTGGGAAGACTTAATACCATATGCGACAATAAATAATGTAAGTTAACACAAATACTATCATATATAAACAAGTTATTAATAGTAGACGTTTAACTTTGTTTTAGTTTTTATATTTTTAGGAGGCCAACACTCCATTAATGAGACTGACACCCACGGAGGCTGAGCTTGCCACTGATTGGTGGCAAGCTAGTCAGCATTTTTTTGATGGCACGAATGATGAGCAGCCTCCACTTCCTCCACTTCGAGAGCCATCACCTCACCCAGAGCCATCACCTGATCGACCCGACTATACACCTCTACAACGAGAGCCATCACCTATCCCGTCACATCATCGAGTCTCTTCTCCACCATCACCTCATGATAGGCGACCGACAAAGATGCCACGACTTCTATCTCCCTGTTCTCCACCTCCACGGGATGAGTCAAGGGAGTTACGTGATGAGGTCAATGCCTTGCGTGAGGAGATCGGTACTCTACGCGATAACGATTGTGCATGGCGTGTGGAGGTGTCTACTTTACGTGGTGAGGTTGCCGCTCTACGTGAGATGGTAGTATTGTTGCAGAATGAGGTTCATACTCTACGCAACGAGGTAAGTTTAAGATTTTCCATATTTAACTTGATGATAAATTTACTCGTAATTTCACTTAAATTAACCATTTCACTTAGATTGCTTAGTAAATTTATTCGGTTGCTGCCAAAACTGCTAAACTTTTTACTTTAACACTGTGAAGTTAGTATTTGTCTTTGTTTTGTCTTTTGGTTGAAAGTTTGAAATATATTTATCTTTGTTTTCACTGTTTAAATATCATGTCTGTTTATTTACTGATATTTGTATTTTTATTTAGCGGACCGATAAGGTGGATGCTTTACGTCGGGTTTTTCTTGCACGACAGAGTTCACGCATCAGACGGCGTGCACGTGCTATTAAGTCTCTGTATACCCCAATAGTGCGAAGACACCGCAAGAAGAAGCCCGACTCGCCTATCATCCCTCAAGAGTCTACTCCTATCGTTGAAGAGGCCCCTATCATTCCTCGAGAGTCCCCTCCCACCGTTCAAGAGGCCACTGTCATCGTTGAAGAGGTCCCTCCCACCATTCAAGAGCCCGATTCACATGGCGTCATATGTAGGATTCTTGAGAAACCCTCTGACGTGCCGGACATGATGGATTCAAGTTGGCTCTCGTATGAGTTACCGGCCAGTACCATACCGGTATCTGAAGAGGAGAGGAAACAACTACCGGACACAATTCTGGATAACACCCTTTGGGCTAAGACCGCAGTTGATTTTTATCTACATGAGCGAAGCCAGGGGTGTTTCACTGACATATGCAAGCTCAATGATGATATCTATTTGTTGCTTGATCGGTCTTGGTGGGGCGTATTATTAGGGGTCGAAGACAATGGCTATTTCGATGGAGGGGTAAGTCTTATATTTTTCTTATATTTTCATTTGATTAATTTGTTTAAAAATTAATGTAATTCACTAATATATGTATTTTTTTGTAAAACAGCATATCGATGCGTGGGTGTCACGTCTACTAATAATTAGGAAACTTAAGGAAAATAAAAGAAATACACGGTATACAATAATGTCGATGGCTTTTAACGCAGTTCACTTGAAGAATCAAAGAGATGAATCATTTGCGTTGGGCAATGGACAAGCTAAACTTTATCCTGCATGGTGGGAGGTCGATAAGGTTAGTGTTTATTTTAGATTGAGTTTAAAGGTATTCATAAATAAGTGCGCAAATGAATAAATTATTACTTATGATTGCAGGTGTTTATCCCTGTTTTGGAACGTAACCATTGGCTTCTCGTCGAGCTTCAGATCCCATCCCTTAAGGCAATAGTATATGACAGCATGATAAATTACATATCATTGGCTGATTTAAGAGATATTATTAAGGGATGGAGCTCTTATTTGGCTAAATACTTGGATGCGATAAATTATTGGACTCGTTCTGGAAACAAGAAGCCAAAGAAGCTCAATATTACAGTTAGCAGAGACGAGACCGCACCACAACAAACGAAAGGACCCAGAGGGGATTGTGGTCCTCTCGTATGCTTGGCGTTGGACCGTTTGATCACAGGAAGTATAAAGTATCTACCTCCCACCGATATAGATAGAGCTGCAGTAGGCTTGTGGTTTCGACATTATATGGCTAGATCGATATACGAGACGCTGCCTACCTGCATCCGCGTTATAAAATGTCCATAAACAATTGGTATGTTTATAGGCTTGTGGTTTGAAAATGTTTGGTTAAGTACCTAGAATTCAATAATTTGCTGTTTGTAGTTTTAGATGTGTAGAAAGTGTTGTTTGAGCAAATGTTTGGTTTATGCAGGTTAATCTCAGAAGTGAGCTGCGTGAAAATGATGTATGGCTGCAAAAGTTGATTCAATAGTAGAAGTGTTATTTTCTCAAATAATTATTGCTTATTTTTGATTGTTTAATTGATTTGTAAAAGGTGATTTGTAAAAGTTGATTTGTTTAATTGATGTTAACATAATTCTTATTTGTGCTTGTTTAATTGATTGAAATGTAATGGTTGATTTTGTTGATTTCAATCTGCATTATGTTGAAGGCAAAAGGTACTATCGCAATGCGAAATGAAAATCGCAACGAGGGAATCGCAACGCGAAATTAAATTCGCGTTGCGATTTTCATTTCGCATTGCGATTCCCTCGTTGCGATTTTCATTTCGCATTGCGAATTAGCGTTGCGATTTTCATTTCGCATTGCGATTCTCTCGTTGCGATTTTCATTTCGCATTGCGATAGTAATTT